TCCCTACACCCCCCACACAGATCAGAACCACTTGAACTGCTGTGTCTCCTGCCCACAAGCACAGCCTCTGTCCAGAAGAGCCTGGGACACGATTAGTCATATTCTATTGACTAAAACAGAATTTACCAAAAAGCGTTTTTCCTGAGCAGTGTGTTACAACTAGATCATAGTTTTGATGATGCCATGAGAATCTTTACTGATGAACTATAGAGTGTGGTTTTGTTTGTTTGTTTTTTACACTTAGCTTCATCCAACTACATATTCACATTCCTAAACAAGTTAACACAAAGTAATACTGCCACTGCACTAGCAGTAAGAAACTGCAGTACCAGGGAACTTTAAAACAGCCATTCAACACTCCCCATTTTTAGTCACAACTCCAAGATTCAGAGTAATGTGTTAACTTAGTGTAAGTACCTCTGCAGTGGTGTCTTGCACATTTGCAGGAGTCCTGAAGTTGTATACCAGATGAAGAGCATGCACCTCCCCATGCTAAAGTGTAAGGGAAGAAGACACATTAAAAAATCACTTTCCTTGATATATTTCAGCACATCATAAAAGGGGTTTTTTGGTACCTTTGGCAGCAGCTCTTTCAGACAATGATGATCAAGCAGCAGCTTCCCAGAATAAATCAGCTTTTGGTCTTCTTCAGGCTTTGAAGAAACAAACAAAGAAGGGGATGATTTGCTCTGCAAATCTCATGCAAGCATTAGCCGACACAACCTGCAGCCTGCTGGCCAGAGGTCCACAGGGGGAAGCACCCCACGTGTGAAGGTGCGCAGGGAGCTGTGCACATCGCAATTCAGCTCCTGAGATGAGAGCAACTCAAGTGCAAGATCACCAACTGAGGGTTAAATCAGCAGGAGGATGTACAGCACCCCTTGGGCAAAGATCTTTGGTACACGCTCTCTCCTTTACAGTGCCGACAAAACCATCTGGGTTTCTTAGGAACGGAGGGCTGGAGCATCACTTAATGCAAGCAGCACCGCGGTGGGGTCGGGCACCTCCGCCCCAGCGGCTTTGGGAACAATCCCATCGCTCCTCGGGAAAGCGAGGCAAAAAAAACGCAACCTCCCGCCGCAGCGGCCCAAAAGAAGCCAAACTTCGGCATTTTCAAGCGCCTCCGCAAGCTGGTTCCCTCGCTGTGCACGGCCGGGGCTGCCTCTCGTTCGACGGGGTAAGAGCTCTCCAAAAAAGCCAACCAACAACCCCAGCGGGGCCCGCAGCTCAACCC